GGGGGGAGTCCCCGGGATCCCTGGAGGGGTTGAAGAGTCGGGCTGAGCCAGCGCTGAGGGATCTGGGGGAGTTGGGAATGGTCAGGGGGAGGGTCATGGTCGGGCTGGAGAAGCTTCAGTGGCTTTTCCAACCTGGGTGGCTTGGTGATTCTTTCTCTTCCCGTGTTGTTCTATGAAGCTGCCCTTATCTCAACCCACGAGCTTTTACTTCTATTTTTCTCCCAATTTTCCTCCCCATCCCACCCCGGGGAGCAGTGAGCCAGTGGCCGTGTGGGGCTTTGTGGCCGGCTGAGCCTCAAGCATGACCAGTCCTGTCAGGGGTGATGGAGACGTCCTGCCATGGGGGAAGAGCAGGTTCCCCCACTCCAACATCTGCCAGAGAAACAATCGCACCAACGCTTTGCTCTGCAATGCTTCTCTGAACGGAGCAACGCAGAGCTCGGGTCAGGTCCCCTCCAGCCAAACACGCTTCCCCGGCTGCGGGGTCGGCCCACAGCCGCCCCGGCTCTGCCAACGTGAGCTGCAGGTCTGTCGGTCGGCTCGGCACGGCACGCACTGCCAAGTGTCAATTTAGCACGACTTTGTCCTCCTAAAGTGATACCGACCACGCTGAAATCAGCAAACCAGAGCAGGGAAAATGCATCTGCAGGTAATTAGTAACAATCACGGGCTGCTTGGAACCTGCTGACTACAGCAGTAAGGAGCTGGGCACATGTCATTGGCTTGTGAACGGAGAGAGCACTTATGGACCGTGGCAGCACACAGTGAGGGAAGGGGGTTTTAAACCGAGTATTTAATGTGGCATAAAAACAATGCAGAGAAACCGAGAGGTTCTCTAACCGAGGTTTGGCTGGTGGTCCATAACTCAGCAGAGCTGGTGGACGAAGCGGCACTCAGAACTATCACTGAATTTTTTTCTGAGGTATTCCAGCAGCAAGTACTGGCATGAATGACAATGTTTAAGCAGTTGTTTCATCCCCAAGAAATATCCCAAATTTTTTGGTCTACCAGCTTGCTAAGAAATAGAAATTTTACATTTTCGACCAACATCTGCACAGAGGATCTTATGCATCCCAACCCCCAACATTCCTCTGCCACCCACACCACAGCCTGGTGACAAGAACAAGGAAAGGCTTGTGATCACAATTCACTTAAGACCTCGATTCTCAGCTTTATTTGCATTAAATTCTTTTACAATGTGTTTTACAGACTTAAGACTGACAAGATGAACTAGACTTCGGTCTCTTCACATACGGCAGCCCAGAAAGTCTCCAGACTTTCTCATAAAAACTGATTAAGCTTGAACAGCAGATACCAGCTATCAAAGGGAGGTAAGTGTTCTTGGCTCAAACTCCTGAACCCATATTTCAAGTTCTTTATCCCCACAAACGCAGCCCTCCAGCCCCATGCCCACCAACAGCCCCACTCTCTGTTGAAACGTCGTGCAATCACGCATTCACAGCTCTGCTTCACACACACCAGAAGAGCTCAGGGTACAAACAACATTTCCAAAACAACCATCCCACCAGGGATGCTACCGCTGTTTTACACGGTTCTGGGTTTCATGATAGTGAAGCTGTAACACAAGTGTTCATAATCTGGAAAGTCAACTGACACGCGAGTTCAACCTCCCGACCCATTAGCTCCACCAGGCACAGACTTTGGACATGTTTATCCAGCCACCCCTCAACTTTACAGCTGAAAACACACTACCTAGCATGGCCAAAACAAGTTGTCCCCCAAGGCTTTCAGCCTCCTGCGCTCGGTTTGCTTGGACACATCACAGGACAGCCTGTATGGAACGAGGAAGAGTGGAAACACTCAAAAAGGGTGAAGAAATTAAAAGCAACCCAACTTTCTGGATCTCAAGAAAAAACTGGAGTCTTGACTGGAGTCAAAGTGTCGGCCATTTCTCTTCCGAGGAGGAGCAGTTCACAGAAGAAACACCATCATGGATCTGCGAGGATCGGGCTCTTGCCTGACAGACAAGGGGCCAAGGTCTAGGACCTGGCTCTGGCAGAACTTCTCTCGTCAGCCTGTACCTGACCACCGAAGCAGGGCCGATACAAAGCCAACCTTCCAGGCGTAACCTGCCTTATCTACCACCTAAATCCAACAACCCACCCCGGCCCCAGCTTAGGAACACAAAGTCACTGAATTTTATCACAGTTTGGGCCAGACCACAAACGACCAAGATGTTCCCAGAAGGCCGAGTACATGACGTGTCAGCAAAATTTTGCGGGACCTTGTGCTCAAAGCCACCACTGTGCATCATTACCCAGTTCCTTACAATATTCAGTGATACCTACAACAGATGCAAAGCCATATGCAGCTTCTGGTCACAAGTGAAAAAGGATCAACCAATGCCTCTCCTCTTCCAAACCCCTTGTTCCAGCAATGAAGTGGGTGGGAAGAGAGGTGTGACTGAAAAAGGGAGTTAAATCTTGGCAGAGAATGGAGAAGTCTGCCCAGAGCTACGGTGAGAAACGCACCACCGAGCGTGCCGTAACCTGCATGCCTTGCACATTACAAAGCGTGTCTTGCTGCTTGAATCCTTCTGCCCCTGACAGTCTGTGCGTCCCCTCGGCTCATCAGGAGAGCCCCAGGGCAGAGAGGGTGGCTCCGCCGTATCATATATGCCCAGAGCTACAGGGCCCAGATCGTGCCAGGGGGTTCTGGGCACGAGCAGCACAAAGGAGTTGCTACGGGTGTTAGGAAAAGAAAAGGGAGGATAACAGTCAGACAATCTCCTCCAAAAATATATCAGAAGGCATAGGTTTTAAAAGGGTTTTGATATGCTCGTGTAAATCTAAGTTTTATGAATGCAGGTGTTAGAAAACTCCACAGCAATATCAAATTAAAGATATAAATACCTACTGCCTTGTAAAACGTGTTCTGTTATAGCTCTCACCCTGTCACATTTAAGACCAATGGCAGGTTTTTTCTAGGCTTGCTACTCATAAAGCCTGTTCCACGTTTTTGATGAGAACTAGTAAATTTAACATTTGGAACTTCTGTTCAAGTGTAGGTAATGTTACAGAGAGAACCCACGCAAGATCCGTAACGAGCTCCTCAGCATCACTCCTGTAGTCAGTTTTGCTTTAACAAACCTGATCAGACAGCTCGCCAAACTCTGGTAACGTAAGAAGCATGAGAAGTGCGTAAAGCAGCTTAGAAGAGCAAGCTCTGCTGACGTATCAGATCAAACAGCTCTTGGCTGAACGTGATTTTGGCCAGGTGCAGATGTTGGATGGTCAGTTCCTTAGAAGAAGAAAGAAGCGAGCCAGCACTCCGCTTCTCCATCGTCTTCTTGCCTCCGTAACTTCCCCACTGCACCATGATAACGCAGCTCAGTAATTTCGTGCTGTTTTGCTTCCCCCTGCAGACTCGGCTCCCATCAGTTCCCACCCCGCAGGCTGCGGCTGCTCCCAGCTGGGGAGCCCCAGACAGTGATGCCCCAACACCCGTGGACGCGGTCCAAGATGCCGCTGGTGGGACATCTTGTCACGGACTCGGACGAGCAAGAGACAAACCCCAAAGGGCAACGCGACACCCGTGATGGGCCAAGGCAGCCTGGGCCTTCTGCAAGGAGCAGCTCCTCAGGCAGCGAAGAAAGAAGCAGGGAGCTCTGCAGTGAACAATTACAGAATAAACTGCCTTAGGAGGCATTTCTTTGTAACTTCCACAGGCTGTGTGTGTTGCTTACGACCCCAGACATGATGGGTCATGTTCCTTCTTTTATATTCCTCCTTTTCTATGGTTCTGTAATTATATATCTCTCTGTGCTCTATGTCCCTACCTGTTACAAGCCACACATGGCCAGAAATCCCTCTTTCTGTCCCTCCATCCACCTTCAGACACTTTTCTTACCTCTGAATCTACCCCTCAAACCACCCGCCCAGTACCAGACAGTTGTTTCAAGGAGTCTCTCCCCTCCCACACTTCAAGGTAAACATGGATTTCCTGACGGTTCCTGTAACTCTCTAATTTCTTTTGAATACTCCTAAACTTTTGTCAAGAAGAGCCAAAGACTGATGACATATTGGGTTAAAACAATTTTGTAGCAACGTTTGTTTTCAAAACCGCTCTCCTTCTAGATGAGAATGCAGTGCTTTCAAGATAGGGCAATACTATCCTAAAACCAGTATCACCTTCCCTTTTAGCAACAAAATAGACAAGTAAATCCAATCTTTGGCAAAATGGAGAGAATCCAGTGGTGAAATCTGCACAGGTTAGACACAAGGACAGAAGTAACACACAGAGGTAACATGCAGATGAAACACATAGCCTTAAATTTTAAAATTCCTTTTTTCTGACTCCCACAATTCCTTCAGCACAGAGTTTTGTCATTTTCTTACCATCTAGGCAACCTCCTTTCAAGCAATGTGGTCAGTCCCAAACAACGAGAGGACCGAGGCATTTATCAAAGTCTAGCTGTTCCTCGACTTCCACCGTACGCCTGCTAGATAAATGCAGATGATGCCGCATTCCTTGAGCAAACAACCTTTGCTTTTCATTTAAATGCTCAGCCTCAGTGCAACAATTACAGTTCCAGAAGCTGTACAAAACACGAGCAGCTGTAGGAACCAAAAGCATCCAAAATTGAGGCTGGTCTGAACTGTCATAAAAACCCCATCCAGCCATTTTAAAAAAAAAAAAAAAAAAAAAAAAAAAAAAAAAAGCAACAAAGCCCAAAAGCAGAGGCAAACATTCTGCTTTTTGGTCACACATTGGTACTCGGGGCGCAGCTTTGGGGTGGAGGGGCACATCCCTTCCTGGACAGGAGGATGGATGCTTCACCCGCTGGCTCCAGGCAAGCACTACCGATTTACACAAGCCGCGCACCGACTTCCAGCAGGGCTGCTACGAAATCGCACTTGAAAAGGGACTTTCTGAGCAAACGGCTCCTCAGCTGACACAGCTCCTCCATAAAGGACATCACCCTGCAACGTGCACACACACACCTTCACACTACTTGTCAGCGCTGGAAAACTGCTTACCTGTGACGATAGGGTACGACTGAGGCCCCGGAACGCTCGCTCCCAAATCTGCAGAAGTAGGGCTGGTTATATTGGCCTTCATGTCATCTAATCCACCAGCTAACGATGCCATGGCTGAGTATTCAGTTGCCTAGGAAAAAAAAAAAAAAAAAAAAAAAAAAAAAAAAAAGCATTTTAGCAATAGTAAATTTACTAGTCTAGTGCTTTTGCCGGTATGACAAAAAGTAGATGCAATACAGAACTCAAAAATCATTTTTTCTGCCAGTTTTAGAGGCAATACCCATTTACACATTCAAACCACTCAATAAGCAGGTCTGGAGAACATCAAAATGGGCTTTCTTTACAAAACCAGAGCCAACTCACCAACGTGTATCAAGGCTTTCCTTAAAGAGGAAATTTTGTAAACTGGGGGCTGTAACTGCTGAATGCAAGTTTCTTGCTTGTTAGAGAAAAATGTCTGTGCCAGTTACCCTGAACTCCCCTTGTTTCATTGGTGGCACCTGAAGAAACAGGCACTGGTGTCCCATTCCCCCCCTTTCCTTGGGAATGCTGCATTTCCTCATCATCTCACAAGAAATAAAGCGAGGAAAATAAAAGTGTTTGCTTCATGGATGCATGTTTAGCCAACTGTTCCTAAACCCAAATTATTTAAAAATAAACCAACTGACTTGCAAGGATGTTCTCCCATCTCATGGGAATTTTAATCTCATTAGCGGAAGCCACGGTAAACGAGCACAGGTCCTCAGAAATCAGGTTGTGTCTGCCCTATAACCCTGTAGAAGTCCACGTAGCTATGGAAATCGATAGCAGGAGAGGCCAATCCATACAGCCAGAAGGACTTCCGTGCACACCACAGAAAGTTTACCTTCATTTGCTTTTTTCCATGATTGCCTACTGTCAGGATTGTTCACACAAAAACGGGGCGTTCCCTCTCAAAGTTCTTTCTTCCCTGCTGCTATTTGCGTTTTAAATTTCAATCCCTTATTTGTGACATCGCAATCACGCCTGTAACAACCGGAGGATGATGAACGCAAGTGAAGAATGGCAACAGGAACAGATAAACGGAGGAACATCCACTGCGAGGCGAATCCCCGCTGTGTTCCTACAAACTAAGTCAAGGCAGCACCTGTGCAGAGCTGAAGCAACGAAGGGGAACAGGGAAACCCAGGACTCTGTCCTTTTTTTGAGTGACCATATCAAAGAATTAACTTTTTTTTTTTTTTTTCCTTAAGGAAACAAAAGCTGATCTGAGCGAAGACATCTTTCTCCCTGTTGCAAGTTTCTCGGAAGCGTCCAAGAACCCAGCACACAGTCGGGCATGTGCCACGAGCTCAGCACTTTGGGTCAGATTGCACCTGTTTGTGCCTCTGTCGCTCAGCTCTCACTCAGACAGGAGTTAATTTACACGGACACCCCCCCGTTAGCAGGTCTGTACACATATGCGTGTTTCTTCGGAGGATACAATCTGCCTGAGGCACAACCACACCCATCACCTTGCAGGATCTCCCATCCAAACCTCTTTCAGCTGAGTGTGTCAAATACATTTTGCCAGTGACCAGCCGCCCCTTCACCCGGCCCACGGATCAGACCTGCAGGGTCCTTCGGGCCAAAAGCTCCTCAGCAATGACCCATCCCCTGTGCTCCTCCCCAACCTTGCATTAAACTTGTCTTTAATTCCATTAAACTCGAGGAACAATTAAACTATTCCTCAGCTCTTTCAGCTGTTCCTCCTCCCACCCCGGCCGTACCCTCGCGTTTCCATTGCCATCACGCACCCAGCCCCTTTCTTCCACCACCGCTGCCTCAGAGACCGCAGGCTCACGCCTCTTCTCCATCCCCTCTGTGCCTTGGATTTCCCAGGCTTTCTCCTACCAACGCACCCAAAGCTCCTTCTCGCTCCACATCCTACCAAGGTGCATTTTTCAGCCTTCCCGCACCACCCCACGCTGTCCTACACCCTCCACCCCACCTCCCCGCTGCGCTGGGTACGTGCACGTGCAGGGCACCACTGGGCTTTCTCGCTCCCCTAAAGCCCCGATTTAACCAGACACCGGAGGAACAACAGCACAGCCGCAGCCCTGCGGAGACACCCTGGGCAGCCAGCGATGCGTGAGCGGCATGGGACGGGCCGGAGCGCAGCAGAGGGAAAAACCGTGCTTGTGCGCTGCCGTTCGGTATTTCCGATGTCTGCAGAAGCAGGCACACCACCCCCCGGGGAAGGACACCTTATTTCACCCCTACTGCTCTACAGAAAGCTGTGACCACGAGGTATCAACACTAGAAAATCTCTCTGTGTCTTCCCGTGGCACACTGACCCGCTGCTCCCCACGGGCAGGGTGCAAACGTGGCTGCCCACGTACGAAGCGAGGTCTGGGCACTTGGAGTTTGTGCGGGAGCATCCAGCTGTGCCAGAGTCTGGATCACAGGCGGGGCTGGACACGGGGTGCAGGTCCCAAACCCACAGCCACAGGCGGCTTCTGGGGCCGCTGCTCCTCACACAAACCCAGCTGGGACCAGTCTGAGCCCCTGCCTGCAGACCCCACACGTGGGGCTGCCGATGTCGAAACACCACAGCTTGGCTCCCGTCGGGGTCCGAGGGACCGACCCAGGAGGAAGCAGGTCCAGGTCCCAGCTCTTAACCGCAACGCTCTGGAAGCACCTCACCAACGAAGCGCTTCAAGCTCGGAGGGACTGACCAGCTCCGGAGCCAGAATCAAGCAGCGACCAGGGTGCGGCACCCCCGGCATGGGCCGGGACAGCGGTACCCCGTGCTCACCGGTGTCACCCCACCGCGGGGAGATGGAGTGAGGGGCCGCAGCACGGCCAGCCCGCGGGCAGCACTTCCCCATCTCACCGGCCTGCAGCAGCACGGCCACAAACCATGGAGCCGATTCTGCAAACTGGGGGGACCTGGAAGCCTTACAGGAGGAGAGTCCACAGCCGGGCGGCTCTGCTGCAGGAGACAGAAGCGCCAGAAATGGAGATTTGAGGTCCCCCCCTGCTTTTGGTCCCCGTAGACAGGAGATGCACCTCGTCTGTGATAGCCCAGCAACCTTTCTCAGAGTTATGAACAGTGGGATTATCAGGGATTATCCAGCTGCTTCCCTGGTCCCATGGCAAAACTGTGCTCACATCCCTCCTGGAGCCACCAGCGGCCGCACTGACCGTGCCCCGACCACCGCCAGGGCTACCAGCACCCGGGAGGAGCGAGCCCGGGCTGAGGGCCAGCCCCGGTGGCTACCGACCCCCCCACCTCCTGAAGCTGTCCTGGCAGGGAGTGACCCACCATGTCCACCCGCCACTGCAGTCAAGGTGCAGGGAGGCAAGGGTCAGCAGAAGGCATCTTCTCGCCCCCAAAGAGCCAGGAGCTGGGGGTGCAGAGCGGAGGAGCCTCCACCCCCGAACCAACCAGCAGGTGCTGTCTGCACCCCTCCTCGCCCCCGTGGAGGGGCTGGGGGACCGCAGCACCCCTCGAAGAAGCAGCAAGCCTCGCTGACGCCATGGGGTGGCAGGACCCGCTCCCCCCAGGGCAGAGCTCACCCTTCCAGACACCCTGTCCAGAGAGGAGAAGAAACCCTGGGGGCAGGCGGCGGTCGTGGAGCAGCCCCTCACCCCATGGCCCCATGGAGACCCTCCTGCCGACCCTCCCCAGGAGCCCCACCAGCTGCTCAGGGTGGGCAGCAGGAGGGGTCTCAGATTTGTCTCCTCCACCAGCGAGCTGGCACGGCCACCGGCAAGGAGCAGCCTGGGGGGTCCGGGCACGGCCAGGCATCCCTCCCCGCGCAGTGGGAAGCCTGACCTGCTGCTTGGTAGGTGAAAAAGCAAGAGTCGGGTGTTCAGTACCCTAGAAATTACCTGAAAAATGACTGCCTGCGGTTGTACCACGCACTGTCTCATCAGCATGGAGCACCACTGCCATAGCATGGAGGAGAGAAAACACAGACACGTGAAACGAGGAAAATATAAAAGGAGAGACCGAGAAGGACAAACCAAAAAAGAGGGGCAAGACAGGCTCTCGCGTGCTCCCGCTGCCCCATCCTGCTCGGCTCAGGCGGACGGGACCCAGGCGCCTGGCGAGGGGCTGGGGCGGCGAGGAGAGGGGGGGTAGCAGCACACCCCCCTCTCACAGCAGCGGGGTCTGCGCGGCCCTTCCCCGACAGCCTTCGCTGCAGACGCGCAGGGGAAGGATGCTGCCCGGGGAGAAGCTGCGCATCCGTCTTCACTGAAAAAGCTTTATCCCCCGGGGCAGGGGAGGTGGTGAGTGGATGGAGGGAAAAGGGGTGCAGGAGTGTTTCGGTGCCGTTTTTATACAATTTATGCCCCGAGGCAGGCGGCAGGCTCTGCCATCTCTTGCTGCACTACAGTGAAGCGGCGAGACAGCCCATCGCCAGCCTCACCCCGACTGTAACCCAGCAAAAGGAAAACCCACCCTGTGCCCACAGCACTCTTCTCTTTGAGATTTACCTGGCGGTTTATCCCAAGGCGGCAGGCAAAGCGGGAACAAGAGCGCTCCCTGGAATAGCCTGGTTCTGGGGTGCCGGCATGGGAAACTCGGGGAGGTCCCTGCGACAAAGGCACCCCCCTCCTGCCCCCTCCTTCTCGCGGGGCACAGACCCCCACCGCTCGGGAGTGACCTCACCAAGCAAAGACCGAGAAGGGGCGTCCGCCCGCGGCCGTCGGAAGGAGCCAGCTGGCACCCGCCGGGCCTCGCACGTGTTGCTTTTTGCATCTGCTCGGTTTTCCAGATCACACCTGCAAAACGCCAGGCAGGCGTGAAGCGACGCCTCGTGTGTTCTCCGCTGCCGGCACGGCCGCCCCGGCCCGCCGCCACGCTCGGGACGCAGCAGCAGCAGAAACGTGACTGCGGCTTGGACCCCCAGAGCAACGCGGCAGCCAGGGGGTCTGGGGACTCGGCCTGCCTCCTTCCCTGCCGACAGACACGGTGCGCCGAGCGCCTTCGCGGACAGAAACCGCGCTGCTCCTCCTTTAAGCCAAGCGTTCATCTCAGGCCTCCGAAAAGCTCGGCGCTGTCCCCCAGGTCACAACTGCCAAAGCCCCCGCTCGCCCCTCGGGGCAGCAGCAGGCCAGACCTCACACCCAAGACCTCCAACCCATCGCGTCGTTAATACG